AAAGTAGGAGGACCCCCTTAAAATTTCTTGAGAAATTTTCTAGTTTTCTTTTGCAAATGTCAAGTCAGCATTTTTTCGGTTTTATGGTGCTAATTCAAAAATGCCGGGACTAATGAGAGAGAAAAATACAGGCACGCGTCCCGTGGTTGGGTTGGACGTGTGTGGCGATTTATGGCCCTATACGTCTAACCGTGTGGGACAAGGTACGCGCCAAAAATCGGGACTGAAAAGGATAAACGGAAAAATTTTGACCAGCACACATAAGAGGGGCTTTCTGGGTTTAAGAAAGGGAAGGGGGGGGGCACAACTCCAGATAGCCTTGTGCAATTTAAGATGATTTTTTTTTCAGATGGACCCTGCTCGTCTTTGTAGTCATAGCCTCAGCTGAGGGGGAACTCTATGACCCATAATGCCTTGCCTTAGCTCAAACTTCTTTTTAGGTTTTCTCACAGCTGTTTCTCAGGAACAGGTTTTTCTAGTGTAACTTACATTTTAGTGGGTTTAGAAGCTTTTTTACTGCATTGAGAACTGACATAATTTTTCCCGCCTTTTTTCCACGACCAAAATGGAAACAGAGCCTCCTTCAAATTTGACTTTTTTATTGGTGTGTCACAGTAATGAAGTCAAAGTCATCAAAAAAACTGCAAACAAAAACATGCAGATATTAGAGGGAGTCCTGTCCAGTGTCATGGAGCTTTTTCTGATGTTTTCCACCATTCTTCCCTTAAATGTAAAACTGTGTCATCATTTAATCCTGTTGAGGTCCAAGTTTGTTTATATTTAAAACAAGAAGTTAAATCTGTAGTTAGTGAAGCATCACACGAGGCTCAAAAGAATCTAAAGGATCTGAAATATTATCATACAGCTGACAAAAGAACAACATACATTTTACCCCCTTAAAAGCCTGAAATCAACTAAAACTTGTTATTAGGTAATTTGGTAAAACATTTGTTTAAGAGCATTTTCTCTGAATAGCTTAATTATATTGATAACAGACAAGCACCAGAACCAGAACCTGAAGCAGCAACACTCAGTAAAACAT